AGTGGATTGTGCTGCCTTACTATTCCAGAGTCCAGACTCAGCATGTTCGCTTGCTCGTAAACGATCGTAAATTTCCAGTCAGGAACAGTGTTTTTCTCTCACACCAAAACAGCCAGCAGTAAATAATCCACGATACGATACGGCCTCCCGAACAGGCTGAGTAAACGTTCATAAGAACCATCACTCACAATTGTTCTGTTTGTATAGCCCGAAGATTGAAAGGAACGTTCAGCAGAATCGAACTTGTTAGTCATCTCAGAAAAAAAAAAGATATTACTGCTCACTTTGAATCATCTTTATGTAATTGGTAAATGCAATTACGTAGTCCTCATATGTTAGTCTGAACTTTTCTTTTCTGATGAAATGCAGATGTTGGCAAAACAAAACAATGGTGGTGCCGGTGCAAGTACAAGCAGCCAGAACAACAACAGACCTAGGAGTCACGAGTAAGGAGTGGCTTTGCTCAGCACAGAGTGTGCGACTGACAAATGAAACGGGGCGTGCATCTCCTGCTAACAGACTGCGTACTATTGTTGGGCAGCTAAGGTTTGTCGAGGCGGCTGCTGGCAAGGTTAGCTGAGGAAGGGAAGTTCAATAACAGGATGCAGAAATGGTGCCGTCCTTGCCGAACCTGACCCTGTTATGTTGTCGCACCTTATTTCTTTCCTAGCATTGTGCCTGCTGCTTGATGTTTGTACTGGTTGTGAGTCTGTGAGATGTTTCATGTTTGTTTGGATGTGTCAACCTGCAGTGACCCTCGTGGAGCCTGGGTTTCACGCTCCTCTTACCTGGTGTGGTATGCAGAAGTGTGATGCTGTATAATTATGCGAGTGTCTGGCAGATGTCAAATTTTCAATCCAGTAGTTACTCCTTTTAATGGTACAGGTTGGCATGATTTCATCTGCAAAGAAGAGTGTGGCTTGTGTGTTAAATCCAGCCAAATGTTTTTGCATGTTTGTGATAAAAAAAAAAGTGTTGGTCACTTGTGTTTATGCTGTCCTAGGCCTCAGCGGCCTGAAAGGTAATATATGTGCCATGTGTAGCCTTGCACCATGCTGGAGTTGGTGCCTGTGAATGTTTTGTGGCTTGCATAACATAGCAGCAGGTCTGGATGTTGGGCTGGGCTACTTTCACACTCGCGTCACAGCAGGTTGGTTGTTTTCTCGTAATATTTAGTCCAGTCAAAGTTGTTTTTCTCATGATCTTTTCTTTTGAGTCAAAGCTGACCAACATGTTTGATTGCCGGTGCTTATTTGATCTGGGCCACGTTAGACATTTGTGCTTTTGATTGTGCACGTTGATGCCCGAAGAAACAGTTACCTGAACTGTTCGGGACATGAGCCCCTAGCACAGGCACTACGCTGTTATTTGTGAGCTGTGTGCCCGAGTGGAGTATCAAAAACTTAATGGCGGTTAGGCACACAGATGAATCAAATTCTTGTTGCTATCAGACGGACCGAAGGAACTTTTATCATCTTCTGGTACACTGACAGCTGAGTGATGTGCTAATCCTAAGTCAAATGTTCCTAAATTTGACTATCGATTTTTTTAAAAAAAATCAATGTACGCTCGCAACATATGAATTATATACTGTGACGAAAGTATATTTCTCATATGATACAAAAACATAGGGGGTTGCCGATCTGCAGCGGCTGCTGATGCTGCAGTTTTAGCTTTTTCCCTCTCTTTGAATCACTAAAGTCGCAGCGGCTGCCGGCTACGGAAGCCAGCTGCCAAACACCCATATAAGTTTTATGCTGTTAACCTACACAAATTTATTAAATTGATGACCACAGATAGAAACCAAAACTAACATGGCATATAAAGGAAAGATGTACTCCCTCTGAAAAGGGTATAATAAATCTCTATTCATCGAGGAGTCCAACGATTTTAGGTTTGACCAAACCTATATAAAAAAAGGGTAAAGTCTAATTTACACACTCCAACTTTCACCAAAGTCCGGATTTCAACCTCGAACTTCAAAACCGGATAACTTTGGCCCTCCAACTCTGGAAACCGTTCAACTTTCAACCTTCTGGGCGGTTTTGGTTGAAAAGCGAAAATATCAAAAGTTATTGTTCACCTCAAAACCGCCCAGAAGGTTGAAAGTTGAACGGTTTCAAGAGTTGGAGGGCCAAAGTTATCCGGTTTTAAAGTTCGAGGTTGAAATCCGGACTTTGGTAAAAATTGGAGGGTGTAAATTGAACTTTACCCTATAAAAAAATAGATTTATAATACAAGTAAGTATCACTAGCTCAGTTATATAAGTTATTTTTCATACTTAACTTATTTATTAAACACATAAATATTAATAATATTTTGGTTGAATTTAAGAAACATTTAGCTTTTGAAAGCTAGAATTGCAGTATTCTGGGAAGGGAGGGGCCAAGCGGGCCTACCTGGTTCGGGAACCTTCCGATTTCGAAAAGTGAGAGTGAGAACTGGCCTCCTCTGCCGTTCGAGAACCTTCGGATGGGGACTAATAATGATACTCCAATAAAAGAGAAGGTGAAACAATGACGAACCAGCCAGCCATCCGCCAGCGCATGGAACTGAGATCCGCACACCACATAAGAGGATCACAGAGCAGAACGAGCATCTCGACATGAAACTCTTTCTCATATATATATATATATATATATATATATATATATATATATATATATATATATATATAATAGGTGTGTGTTTGAATGGCGTCCTCTAGCGTAATAGAGGTGCCTGTGCCTGTGCCTGACAGCCTGAGCAAGCCGGGATGTTGCGTGTGGTGTGTAGGTTGAAACGGCCCCGATAACTTCCCTGGCTCAGGCAATCCAGCTGCGGCTCAACTCCTCAGGTGTCTGAACTCTATTTTCTTTGGGGTCTTTGGTACAGCTGAAACAGCTGCTGCAGCTGCGGCCGTGGCTATTCAAAGATGTTCATTTCGTTGGTTTCAAATTGGTCCAAAACAAAGTGTACCAACAAGATTTTTTCTCTCACAATGAACCAAAGACCACCACCAAATTTTAAATCAGCCCGTAAGAAACCAAATGAACAAGCAGGTTAATTGTGTTAGCCAAAATCTTTGTACCAAGATCGGCAACTTGCAGCAGCTGCAGCGAACGAGGCCTCTGAGTTTCCCCAATTTCCAATTTCCTAGCGAAAAACTATCAAAATTCGAGACCCAAACTATAATCAGTCCCAATGCTAAAAATCACGGATAGTTTTTATGTATGTAGTCACTCTACATAGAAATTATATTTCTAATGGATAATTTCTACATAATAATCTTTTATACAGTTACATGTCTTTTTTTTTCCTCATCTACCTATCATCTCTTCATGTTTTAGTTCCCGTGTAGACACATAGTTTCTTATTAAAAAATCATTTTCTCCTCACTCCTCACTAAATCGCTTGCCTCATCGACAAAATACTTAGGTGTCAGGGTAATTAATACACATAGAAACTATGATAATTTTTGTATTGTGAGTGCCCTTACGGGAGATCCTCACAGGCACCCAGTGAACTACATGGCTATCGTGCTTCAGAATAAAAGAGGATGGGCATGATTTATTTAAATAAACAAATTCTACATGTACATTGAGACCTTTTTTTATGGAAATTCCTTTTCTTTTTAATCTCCATCCATCCATAGATTCATTTCCACATCTCTCTTCTTCTTTTTTTTTTTGAACTGGATTCATTTCCACTTCTCATCTGGCTGCTTATTGCCACTGCCCCATTGTGCCACCAGACATGAAGGAAACCAGGCCACCAAAATATCAGGCTGGCCCAGTAAGGGCCCGGCCTGGAACTGAGGCCCGTGCCCAAAACGATGGCCGGCCTCCCGCTAACAGAGTATCTAAAGACAAGAAAGCGTAAAGAGTAGCCGGCCACCAGCATGCCACGTCGTCTGCTTTTCGTGGCCGTTCGATCGGCCACACTGACGGTTCAGATCGGGCGAGCCGCGGTCATTTTTTAGAAAAACCCTTCTTTTTCCGGAAATCAACCCGCGCTCCAGAGTCCCTCTCAGAATATTTTGCAAAAAAACATCTCAGATTATTTTGAAATCAACCCGCGGTCCAGAACGGATGGCCTCCGGGTTTTTTTGCAAAAAAAACCTTGTCTTTGTCGAAAATCAACCCGCGCTCCACAGACCCTCTCATCATTTTTTGCGAAAACCTCATCGGATTTTTCTCAAATCAACGTATAGACCAACTTTGATTATATTTTTTTTTTCAAAAAAAAAAACGTGTGGCCAGTGGCCTGCGGGCATGGACGAGGCCGAAGGACCAGTAACTACTACTGCCTACGGGTAGCAGGCAACAGGAAAAGCAACGGCTGAAAGAGAAGGCAACAGCAAAAAGCGCGAAAAGTCAGAACCGATCCGAGCCGTTCCATTTTTATCTTCCACGTCAACTCGCGCTTGCGTCGCTACAACGCTTCGCATCGCCCCATCACACGACGCGAAGCAGAACAATAAAAAAAACCGCGCGAAGAAGAGCACCTGCAGCCACAGAACCTAAACCTGCCGCGCGGGCCCCACCTGTCAGCAAAGCGATAACCCCCAATCACACGACGCGGCCATGACTCGGCGCCGCGGATAGGGATGGGGCGCGCCGGTGACCACGACCTCACCAGACCACCGTCCCAACGCCCACGGCCCACCCACTCCGACGTCCGACCCATGCCGTTCCCGTCTATCACTGGCATGTGGGCTCACGTACTGCAGCTTCCTTTTCCTCTCCTTCCGTGGACCCGGTTGTGGCACGAGGAGCAGTAGGCGGGGCCCCACCTTGGGCACCGGGCCAACCGCGGTGTATAAAGACCTGTCCCACGCGCCAATCCCCTCCCTGTTCTGTTAGCTGTTAGTCTCCCCTGTTATTACCCTCTGTTCCGTCTCGCCTCGCGTCCTGTTCCCGTCTCGGCTCATCCTCTCCTCGCCTGCACGCTTCTGATCGATCGACCGCGAGTCAAAGGGCGAGGACCTCCACCTCTTCCAGCAACCCCGCAAGCAAAGCATGACGGGTACCGGCGGCGGCGGCGAGCACTACTCGCGGCAGGTCCGCGAGCTCTGCGCGCTGCTCCTCACCATCGTCTCCCCCGCGCCGGGACCGGGGCAGCCGGTGTCGATGTCGCCGGCAGCGGCGGCGTCCATGCTCCTCGGCGCGTCGGTGGCGCTCATGCTGTGCGGCTCCGTCACCTTCGCCCTCGGCCTCCTCCTCATGCCCTGGGTCGCCGGCCTCGCGCTCCTCTTCGGCTTCGCCGGCGCCGTCAACACCCTCTCCTCGGGGCTCTTCCTCTCTGCAACAACAGCAAGCAGCCCCCCGCCGCCGCGGCGGTCCCCTGCAAGCACCTGCGGGGACGGATCATCGGGCCCCCGGCCCCAACCCCAGTGATCGGCTCCGACGCGCTCGTCGCCTAGCTTGCTTGCTCCGGCCGGCGTGCCTAGATTTTGCTTGATTTCTCTTCGTGGATCCCTACTAGGATTCCCTGTAAAAACGCGCCCTTTTGCTGTACTACGCTTGTAGTCGTATGATCCGGAGGAGAGGAGGTGTTGTTGCTTGCTGGTTAATGGGAGGAACGGAACGTCACAAGAAATTAATTAAGTGATTGTTTACCCTCATGTTGGCAATTCCATTCTTGATGATAAGTCTCCTACTAGGTGACGCGTATTATTGGGTGCTTTAATATCTGCTACTGCGTTGTTGTTGTTTTTTTCCTTCTTTTGATAACTACTGCTACTGCTTTGTTGGTCAGTAGGAGCACGAAACTTTGGCAACGTGTTCGCTACGGAGCACAGTGCAAGTTCGCTACCGGTGGAACGCGATGGCTGTCCACCCGCGTGTGTGGTGAGAGAGACGTGTACAGGCCTGTTGTACCGTGGGGAGTGGGGACGGACATACACGTACCGGACAGTGATGTGAGTGTTTTGAGCGTGTTCTTCAGCTGTGACAGAGAAGTAACCAAACATGTGGCCCACGAGGCGTCGGTTACGTATAAAAGTGCAGGGGAGAGGAGCTTGGATGATCATTCGTGCGGTTGTCCGAGCTCCCCCCCACCCCATCTCTGGATTAAGAGGATTGGGGTTTCTCATGATTTAGGATGAATCTGAGGAGATTTCAACTTCTCGTGAGATTGATTTAAGTTTGTAGGACTTTCTTTAGAATACAGATTTTTTTTTTCTGTTTCTATATTTCCAGTAAAAAATAATTCGTTTCGTGTGAAATCTCTGTGTATATATAAAAAAGGAAGTTCTAAATCAGTGGAGAATCCAAACGCTACCACCTGTCGGAGCCGACAATCCGTCGCTGTAGGAGCCTAGCAGACGCAAGAAGCGATGTTTGATTTGGGAAGCGCGTCCCCGGGACTGCAATCTGATTGGATTGTTTTTCACATGCATCCATTGACTACTCCTAGTATGTTTCTGCATTATCCATTGCTTGTTGCAGTTGCAGGGCCACACCATTTGTACGCAGTCAGAAGATTCGGCTTCGGAAGCAGGTCATTTGCTCCCACCTGCAGCGTCGTCCTCTGTTTCAGAACAAACAAGCACTACTCCTACCATTTCTCTGGCTTCTCCGGTATCGATCGATTGGGCGTCCAGTACCTGATGCAAGCATAACAAGCAAGGTGATCCATGTGGTCACGTATTCTTCTCTGATTCTCTCCGATCTGCAAATAGCGGCATCTGCACGATTGCGTTGCGTTGCGTCTGTTCAGCAGCAGGCTTCAGATTGCAGGAGACTGTCTCAGTCTGCCCGGTAGCATCGCATCTCATCTGTTAAAGGTTTAAAGCAGTAATAAATCGCAATTCGCAAGCAAGTAAAACACAGGTAGAGGAAAAAGGCCAGCCAAAACGCGCTGCCTTTGTAGCTTTAACCCTGTGTTTTTCTTGTTAACCTTGCTGGCCATTGCTGCTTTTAAATTTGGCCGGAACCTTCGTCGCAAAGGAGAACACCTCACCAATCTGGAGTGCTCTTTATTCAGAGCTTCAGACTGTAAAGCGAAAGCCGCTATATGCTGCCTTCTGCCTGGTTCTATTCTATCTATTCCCCTAGGCTAGTTCTTGCTTGCTTCGTGCACACAGCACACTACATATTGATGCCTTCCTTCCTTCCTTGCCTAGCCACTTCCCTACCTTGTACACTACATACAATGCTAAGCAACCTCACTACATATTGATGCCCTTCTACATCGTTCTAGCTAACTTCCTGCTGCGTCCGTCATGAACTACGCGGGCATGAACTACGCGGACAGAGGAGGTATGAACGCCGCGGGCAGCAGCAGCATGTCGCCACGGCCGGGCACGGACTGGGGCCCCATTATCGTGGCGGTGATCCTCTTCGTGGTGCTCTCGCCGGGCCTGCTGTTCCAGCTCCCCTCGCGGACGCGGGTCGTCGAGTTCGGCAACATGGCCACCAGCGCCATCGCCATCCTCGTCCACGCCGTCATCTTCTTCTGCCTCCTCACCATCTTCGTCGTCGCCATCGGCATCCACGTCTACGCCGCGTAGGCTCCATTTGTGGCCTGCTTCACTTCACACGATGGTGGTGTGCGCTTCGTGCAGTTTCTTTGTAACTTGCTGGTCTTTTGAGTAGACTACAGATGGCGCAAGATTTAGCTGCTCATCTGCTATGTTGTGTATTTGGCCGGCTGTTGGACAGAGCGTTGGCTTGGCAATCCGGTGTCAGTGACATTTCACTTACTTGCTGTCGTAATTGAAATAGTATTTCTCAGGTGTTGCGCGTGCATGGTACGTAGCTATTGGTGTCATCACTGTATCCATGTGTTGCCAGCAGTTAACATCAATATAACCCACGAGCTGTCTACTTATTTCAGAGGAGAGTAGGATTTTCCTAAATCCCAAGTCATGGTATTTTTTTAAGTTCCAAATTGACAAGGTTGCAACCAGATCAAGGTTAGTACCGTGAACATACTTGAGTTTCCGTTTGTTGGTAGCGATATGCTGAAGCAAAATGATGGCCCTTGCTAGCAGGGGCGGATTCAGTGGCGGCCCACCCGGACCACCCCCGGGCCACAAATACAACGAGCAGGTCAGCTCAACTCGTCCTCAGCTCAGCCCAGAAACCCCACCAAAACTCAACTGGAAACCTAAAAATTCAGCCACTTTTTTGGCCAATTCTGAACCCGCCCCTGCTTGCTAGCCTTATCGGCTCATATAAGAGCTGCTGAGCTGGGCATGAACAACAAGTAGTATTCCTATCTTCGTGGTAGAGCGATACACGTGTGCTTTTGTTTTATAAAAAAACCACCTAAGTCCTTCCCTCCCTTTCAACACTCGATTTATTGTTTTTGGCCGATCCACGTGCGACCAAAGAGATCAAGGATGTAATTGGGGTCCTTGAGACAGATTTTTCCCCTTAAGTCCTAACAACTGGGCCTATTCAGATGTATTTATAGCTGCCACCGATGTGTGTTGCGTACAGGAAAAACACACAAAAAGAACATACATAACGGAATAGGCCTATTGACGTTTGAGCATTCTCTCGTAGGAGTAGTCTCCTGCATGCAGAAAAAGAAATGCTCCGCTATAGTTTACAACTTCTTCAGCTCCCCAACTAGCCTGTCCTATATTAGCATTTAAGGAGTTGTTTGGTACCTTTGCTCAATACTGTGTAGCCTTGTTTGGTAAGGATTTAGAGTAGTTAGTTTGTTTGGTTGGCTGGCAAGCACGCCTTAATTCTATGATGTCAAGATTTGGCTCTTCTGGATGAACAAGACGTCCTTAGTTTCTTTACCAGCATTGCTCAGCCTCGCTCACGTTACGCTCAACCTTGCCAGGTTAGGCGAGCCCGTTTTGGCTCTCCTGTGCTAGCAAGGAAAATCTTGCCCACACAAGCCTTGAGGCACTCTGGCTGGAGATCCAAACAAGCAGATCCATTCCACATCCTCGCTCGGCAAGGCTACATAGTGCCGAGCAAAGGATGCAAACATACCCTAAGTCTTCTTTTGTTTTTTTTGTGCTAGCTAAGCAATTAGAGCTAGCTAAGAAACCAAACATATCCTTAATTGCTATATCTGTAGGCAATGTCTCTGCAACTTGAAGCGAGCAGGCCTGAAACACCTCATCTAGCTCTAAGATGCCCATCGAGGGTGCACTAACTTGCTCGAGAAAACCAAACTAGAGATAAAAAGTGAGAATGAGATATTCCATTTATCAAGACTCGGTTTTAATGATATTGATATCGTTTATGACTCTTTCCAACCATTAACGTATTTTAAGATGGTTATGGTTTCATTGGAAGCACATGGATAGGGGCGTGGAACGGCCTTGATATGTCAGTCAATAGTAGAGACGAGGACCTTTTTGCCGCATCAACAAAGGTAATAATAGGGGATGAAAATCTAGCCCGGTTCTGGCAATCATCATGGGTCGATGGAAGAACGCTAAAAAACATCGCACCAACTTTGTACAAGAAGGTGAAAAGGAAGAACCTATTAGTAAGAAAGGCTTTACAAGATAACCGATGGATCTCTCATATAACCCCATTAAGTACAGCACATGAAATAAGAGAATACGTCATGCTATGGGAGGCTGTAGGGAAACTCAACTCCATGAGGACAGGAAAGACAATATCCGGTGGTAATGGATGGCTGATGGGGAATACACAGCAAAGAGTGCTTATGGCATTCAATTCCAAGGATCATTTAGCAAATTGAGAATACTGTCGATTTGGAAAGCAAAGGCGGAGCCCAAATACAAATTTTTTACGTGGACGTTGTTACACAAGAAAATTCTAACAGCCAACAACTTGATCAAAGCAATTGGCCCAATGATCCGACTTGTAAGCTGTGCAGTATCGATCCGGAAACGCCAACATATCTTTGTAAGGATTGTGTTTTCATAAAGCAAGTTTGGTCAATTTTAAAACAATGGCTTGGATTATCAGTATTATACACGGTGCCAACGGGGGGATCCATTCACAATTACTGGCAAAAATGCCGCGCAAAAATTGATAAAGACCAGAGACGGGTATTTGACGGAATAATGATCTACCTATGGTGGAATGTGTGGAAGTAGCGCAACCGAAGAATTTTCCATAACACAATGATGCAACCAAGACAAGTAGCTTTTGGGCGTGTTCGGCTGGCTTAAAGCCAGCCGGCTGGCTTGTTTCACCACTCACGAAATCACTGTTCACATTCTGCTAGAACAGTATTTTTCTCTCACAACAATCAGCCAGAACAATATTTTTCTGTCCTGCCGAACAGGCCCTTTCTTTGCAAGGAAGAAATAGAGCAGCACCAGTTGGCGATGAGGAATCATGGGGGAATCCAGCAACATCAACAATCTTGATCAGTGATGTGTGTTCAGCTTCAGAGTAAGCTCTCTTTGTTTTCAGTTGCTAGGTAGGGAAAACAGGTTGAGGCGGCGGCCTGGGGACCGAGTTAGAGTATTGCTTAGTGGCCTATTTCCTCTTGTAATTCTTTTGTATTTTTGTTTTCGCTTTCTATCGGCTAATAAAAATCCGACAAAGCCCTTGCCATTTGTTTTTTTTAAATCTTTTTAAATTTCTTCTAATGTCGTTACAAGAGGCCCATTGGCCCAGAATACTCAGGCGCACGCCGCGACCTTCGCTTCCGTCTCCGGTCTCCGTCTGCCCCCCCTACCCCTATAGGGAGCACTCCCGATTCGCGGGAGCGAGAGAAATAGAGGCCCCCCTGCTCGCCGTCGCCGATCGGAGGCCCTCGCTTCCCCCCGGCGGGCGGCGCGAGCTGGGAGATGGACGGCGGCGCGGGCGCCGGCGCCGGCCGGAGGAGCGTCTGCTCGTCCTCCGGATCCAGGAGGAGAGTCCCGCCCGCCGAGAACGGGCACGGCCATGACGCCCCGCCGCCCTCCAGGCGCTCCTCCGTCTCCCTCTCCCGCGGCCACTCCACGTACGTGATCCGCCCCCGCCGCATCCGCCGTGCTCAAGTCGTTCTTGCTCTGCTTTTGTTATCCGTAGACCGTGCTCCATAGCTAGCGCTTCTCTAGTGTGGTGTCTTCGGTTCAAGAGTTTTACCTGGAGTAGCTTGCCTCGCTCTGTTTGCAGCTGGGAGCCTCTCCCTAGCCTAGATTTGACCCTGCTTTATGGAATCAATGGATGTTACGCACTTTTAGTCTAACAATACAAAGTACGATTCCTTTTTCAGTTACAACAGAAAGTGCTGAATGCCATTCAGCTCTTATAACCATGTTGTACTACATACGCATGACGCTGGCTGTGGAATTTTGTTTGTAACGTAAACCACACACGTTTCACTAACACAAGCAAGCTTGGCTACAACACGGCATTGCTTGCTGACAAACTGTGATTGGTCAACCATGCTTGCTCTACCAAATGGACAAGATCAAAATCCGCTCCGCGTGCTACGGACTTCACAGCTGAAAAACACTACCTCGTTGAATTCTTTTCAGGTCACTGACCGGCGAGAGGACTGTGAAAAGGCTGAGGTTGTCCAAGGCGCTGACGATACCGGATCACACTACTGTGCACGAGGCTTGTCGGAGGATGGCATCACGCAGGGTCGACGCCGTGTTGCTGACCGACTCCAACGCTTTGCTCTGTGGGATCCTTACCGACAAGGTGAGGGGATGTTCCTTTGCTTTTTGTGTCTCTGCTGCCTTAGATGTTCCTGATTTCTCAATGTATGCTATATTTTGGCAACGCTGGTCAGGACATAACCACAAGGGTGATTGCTCGTGAGTTGAAGATGGAAGAGACACCGGTCTCCAAGGTCATGACCAGAAACCCTGTATTTGTTCTCGCGGACACGCTTGCAGTTGAGGCGTTGCAAAAGATGGTGCAAGGTCTGTGAATGCTCTGATGATTTCTGCGCGCCTTTTGCCTATAGTCATCTTTTAATGTTGCCTGATGAAAGGTATCCTTTGGTTCCAGGTAAGTTCAGACATCTGCCTGTTGTGGAGCATGGTGAAGTCATTGCAATTCTGGATATAGCCAAGTGCCTATATGATGCTATTGCACGGATGGAAAGGGCCGCGGAGAAAGGAAAAGCAATTGCCGCTGCTGTTGAGGGTGTTGAAAAGCATTGGGGAGCATCTGTATCTGGTCTGTACTTGAAATATTCCCTACCCCTTCTCATCTTCATTCTGCTTTTGAAAATGAAATTATGCATTGAACTTCACTCTACGTCTCTACCCTTGGTCTTTATGTTTCAAACGTATTATAAACTTTATGTATGAAAAGTTTGCCTTCATGGATTTTCTAGTGTGCCCCCTTTAATCATTTCTCCTCCTATTTTGCAGGTCCTAACAATTTTATTGAGACTCTTCAAGAACGGATGTTTAAGCCATCACTGTCTACCATTATCTCTGAGAATCCAAAGTAGGTAATATCCCTTCTTTTTCAAATTAAGTGCCTGCTTGAGTATTCATATAGTAAGTGCCAGTTCAGAAAAACTTACACGCTGACTTAATTCTTTAGAGTGATCACTGTTGCACCATCAGACACAGTTTTGACAGCATCAAAGAAGATGCTGGAATTAAAAGTG